CCCTATCATCATCTACAGCACATATACGTTACCCTATCATCATCTACAGCACATATACCTTACCCTATCATCATCTACAGCACATATACGTTACCCTATCATCATCTACGGCACATATACCTTACCCTATCATCATCTACAGCACATACACCTTACCCTATCATCATGCCATCTACAGCACATATACCTTACCCTATCATGATATATATATAACATATGCATACCTTACACATTTCTGTCATCAAATTATATCTAAATATCATATAATACACTGAACATGAAAATATAATAAAAAATTCAATAACTGGTCAGGAGTGTAATGATAAACATATAGTATACAACATTAAATTGTTATCGCCATAGCATTGTGAGTTTTTAGGTTGGTGTAATGCCTTGGCTTACAGCAGACATTAGTAACATATGTACATTGACCTAGTGATAGTAGTCAGTAGAAGTATGTGGGATTCCAGCACTTTCTCCACATGGGTGTCGTAAAGAATACATGTTCAAAACAACAGCATCACATCGTACAAAAATAATCCATGGAGAAATGAGAAGTATTTCAATTTGAAATCTTATCCAACAGGCCACAAAAACAACCCCGCCCAGAGATACTTACAGTGTCCTCCATTGCAGCCACATGAACCAGTACTTACAGATATCTAATTATATCCTACTCTACACCAAGTCACACCCACCCTACAGGAGTAACCCTAAACCAACACACTGGCACTGTCCCAGGCTGTATCAGACAGCTGTCCCACAGGGAGGACAGACACCCTCTCACCCCCCACAGCAGGACCACTTCTCAAATATCAACAACACAAAACATCAGGAATAGACTAGACCATAATCACATCAGTATACCTTCAGCTTTTATAACAGTGGAGATCAGTAGTCAGTGACAACAAGTACATGTTCGATATTTAGCTTTCTGCAGCTCATAATCATATCTAGGACATTTTTAACACCTTACACAATGGGTGTGTACATTCTGCCAGGGATAATCTTTGGGGGCCATTGACCCCTAAAAACTGAAATCGGCCCCACCATGTTCAAATTTTATTTTAATTTGAAATAGAATGACTCCTCTTAATTTTGATATTGACTAAAAATTGCTGAAAATGGTCCAATACTCTCAAATTCCAGGATATCGATTTCCCCTGTTCTACGGTATACCCTTTTTCAGATACAACACAGCCAATATATCGTGCCAATATCATCCTAGAAGCTGTTTATTTTATAAGAATACACATTACCAAGGTCTTCCAAAATCTGCAACGTGTGAAATCGAAGGAAATACAGATTTTACCAAATTTCTTTTGTTTTTCCAATAATCTTGTAAGCAATTTTTTTTTTTTCTGCTTTGAATATGGTAAACCCTGAAATATATTCTTAAACCTTTCTGATCAACTAGAAAATAAGTTTTGTCTAAAATGCTAAATGTGCATTCATGAATAAATTAATATCCCGAAGATGTCAAGGTTCAAGCCCAGGTTTAAAAGGTAAAAACATGAAAGCTTTATTGACTTTGTGCGTGCATACCTCCGTTACTTCCGTGGTTACTTCTGCCAGCATTGTTAGCCCTGGCCAGTCTGCGGTTAAGCATTAACAGATACAGGACCAGACAGAACAGCCCGTAGTAAACAATGTACGCCACCAACAACACAAAAATAGCTATTACAAATAGGTCTGGGTGCTGGTCTAGGAAGGGACACCTATACATTAGTAATAGCACAGTTTAGCAAAACCTGGCAGCTCTTCAACACACCATTTCACCACCCCTATGTATAATTTAGATTGTTCTAACACATCCATAGTGCATCTTCCATTACAGAGTCCATTACAGGAATCTAGGGATAAACCATGCATCTACACACACATGCTGTGTCGTCTTCGGTAGTGAATGGACTGATCTAATTGGCTCTCAGTGTGATGTCAATTACAGGGTATGGTAGAGTCCATTGGAGGATATGAAGGATGGCAGCATATATCCCAGTAACAACACAGCAGCTGAATCAACAAGGAGTAGTATCCTCCCCACGGTAATGGCATCCTTATCAGCTAGCTATCTGCTGTAGCATTCCACACATACCAGCTCAGCAGCCGGTCCACATCTGGCTGTACAGTGGCTGGCTGAGTCAGACACTCACCAAAGCAGTTCCAACACATCACAGATACATCAAGGTGCTCCACCGAGACTCCTTTACACAGCTATTGATCAGGCTGCCTTCCACATATATTCAAATACAGCTCATCAAGATATCCATATGCATTCAATATCTCCCAGACATTCTCAAAACCGTTCATATATTGTGCCCAAAATAAGCATTAAAGAAGAATTGCAGAGGTTTATTTTTATTTTATTGATTAAATTGTCAGCCGAGTTGGAGATAAAGGTGTTCCAGTCTGGAGGGTGCTTGTTGTTATGGTAACAGTGCTGCAGCAGTTTGGATATTGATCAAGTGCAGCACTTCCAAGCTAGGGTCTATAGGTAACTAACACAACTACTGAGCTAGGGTCTATAGGTAACTTACACAACTACTGGGCTAGGGTCTATAGGTAACTTACACCACTACTGAGTTAGGTTCTATAGGTAACTAACACCACTACTGAGCTAGGATCTCTAGGTAACTTACACCACTACTGAGCTAGGGTCTATATATAACTAACACCACTACTGAGCTAGGATCTCTAGGTAACTTACACCACTACTGAGCTAGGTTCTATAGGTAACTAACACCACTACTGAGCTAGAGTCTATAGGTAACTTACACCACTACTGAGCTAGGGTCTATAGGTAAATAACACCACTACTGAGCTAGGGTCTATAGGTAGCTAACACCACTACTGAGCTAGGTTCTATAGGTAACTAACACCACTACTGAGCTAGGTTCTATAGGTAACTAACACCACTACTGAGCTAGAGTCTATAGTTAACTAACACAACTACTGAGCTAGGGTCTATATGTAACTAACACAACTACTGAGCTAGGGTCTATATGTAACTAACTCCACTACTGAGCTAGGGTCTATAGGTAACTAAAACCACTACTGAGCTAGGGTCTATAGGTAAATAACACCACTACTGAGCTAGGGTCTATAGGTAACTAAAACCACTACTGAGCTAGGGTCTATATGTAACTAACACCACTACTGATCTAGGGTCTATATGTAACTAACTTCACTACTGAGCTAGGGTCTATAGGTAACTTACACCACTGCTGAGCTAGGGTCTATATGTAACTAACACCACTACTGAGCTAGGATCTATAGGTAACTAACACCACTACTGAGCTAGAGTCTATAGTTAACTAACACAACTACTGAGCTAGGGTCTATAGGTAACTTACACAGCTACTGAGCGAGGGTCTATAGGTAACTAACACCACTACTGAGCTAGGGTCTATAGGTAAATAACACCACTACTGAGCTAGGGTCTATAGGTAGCTAACACCACTACTGAGCTAGGTTCTATAGGTAACTAACACCACTACTGAGCTAGAGTCTATAGTTAACTAACACAACTACTGAGCTAGGGTCTATAGGTAACTAAAACCACTACTGAGCTAGGGTCTATATGTAACTAACTCCACTACTGAGCTAGGGTCTATAGGTAACTAAAACCACTACTGAGCTAGGGTCTATAGGTAACTTACACAGCTACTGAGCTAGGGTCTATAGGTAACTAACACCACTACTGAGCTAGAGTCTATAGTTAACTAACACAACTACTGAGCTAGGGTCTATATGTAACTAACTCCACTACTGAGCTAGGGTCTATAGGTAACCAAAACCACTACTGAGCTAGGGTCTATAGGTAACTTACACCACTGCTGAGCTAGGGTCTATATGTAACTAACACAACTACTGAGCTAGGGTCTATAGGTAACTAAAACCACTACTGAGCTAGGGTCTATATGTAACTAACACGACCACTGAGCTAGGGTCTATAGGTAACTAACACCACTACTGAGCTAGGGTCTATATGTAACTAACTTCACTACTGAGCTAGGGTCTATAGGTAACTTACACAGCTACTGAGCTAGGGTCTATAGGTAACTAACACCACTACTGAGCTAGGGTCTATATGTAACTAACACCACTACTGAGCTAGGGTCTATAGGTAACTAACACAACTACTGAGCTAGGGTCTATAGGTAACTTACACCACTACTGAGCAAGGGTCTATAGGCAACTAACACAACTACTGAGCTAGGGTCTATATGTAACTAACACCACTACTGAGCTAGGGTCTATAGGTAACTAACACAACTACTGAGCTAGGGTATATATGTAACTAACACAACTACTGAGCTAGGGTCTATAGGTAACTAACACCACTACTGAGCTAGGATCTATAGGTGACTAACACCACTACTGAGCTAGGATCTATAGGTAACTTACACAACTACTGAGCTAGGATCTATAGGTGACTAACACCACTACTGAGCTAGGATCTATAGGTAACTTACACAATTACTGTACTGAATCAAACTAGGTAGACCAGGATGTTCACAGGTACCACAACTACACAAGCCATTCGGATCGATATGTCTCGCCTGTGCCCTGCTTTGACCATCAATGCACATGTCAAGTTTGGTTGGTCTAGCACTTATAATTTCAGAGAAAATAACTTAAATGCAAAAACTTAATGTTGATGGAGATGCTGACCAAGTCAATGGACCATGAAAGGTAGGTTGCATCTAGTATTTGATGGACGGGTTAAGACGTACTACCTAAGATGCATCTATGGTCCAAGTAAAGTTGGTGTAGCACCTTTACTTTTAGTGAAACTAACTTAAACGCAAAAACTTAATGTTGACGCTGCTGCCGTCGCAGGAAAAGCAACACCTTAGTCTTGCTTCCGCTCCTTAGTGGTGGCGAGACAAAAACTAGAATCTGTAGTCAAGAACATTGAAGTAGGTGGAAGGTGGGGAGGTTGGAATTTCATAAAAGTAGGAAGCAGTTCATTAGGAGACAAAAGATCAAGATATGAAACTGGGATCTATATATACCCACAGTTGATCGCCCCGGGCACAGTTAATGATAAGCTTACATGTACACCTGTTTGTAATTGTTCCTAAATAACTCACTCATCCTCTTTTGAAAGTCCTAGTTAACTATGATATTCTCCGGTTTGCTTTCACTGTACTGAGTCTTAAAAGTCATGCTGACTCTCTTCTTTTCACCAAAACATCATCCCTGAAGAAGACCAGGAAATGGATAATCTGAGGCACTGCTAAAGGGTTACGAGTATTACTTTTACCATCCCTCTTAAACGCCTTAACTCAGGGAAAATCAGCAAAATGAGAAACAACTATTATGTGCAGTGCTTCCTTGTCTTATGTTTGGCATAATTAGAAAACCTCACTTAAGTAATCAACAGGCAGGAAATACACAGCTTCCACAATACCAGCCATTTTAACACAGTCAGGTTTGTTCACCCTATAAGGACCCTACCCTTAATGAAAACACCACTGACTACTGAGCTAGGACCCTTAATGAAAACACCACTGACTACTGAAAAAGGACCATAATGAAAAGAAGAGAGTCAGCATGACTTTTAAGACTCAGTACAGTGAAAGCAAACAGGAGAATAAAGAGGATGAGTGAGTTATTTAGGAACAATTACAAAAATCTTGACCTATAAAGACATCACTTTCAGATGTTTCAGACTGTCAAGGAAGCTCTAGATATTTTGCAAATACAAATACACACACCATCCGGTTAAATGAAGCCTGCGATACGATCAAACCCCTCCAATCTCCAACTCCCGCGCAAAACACTTGATAGATGTCCTAATAT